AAATTTGTAACCATTGCCTTCATGAGAAATTAGTAATTTTATAATTTTATATCACAAAGAAAACAACCTGCTCAATAAAAAAGACGAAATTTTATCTAAGTGTCGACATTCCAACAAATTTCTACTGTCCTCTTTTGATACCAGAGACTAAATTGTTACATATTTTATTACGTCAGAAGACATTCTACCATAATTTTTAATTCATTTGTGAAAGATTTTGTTTTTAAACAGTTTTTTCTAATGGTTTTTTTATATGTATTTTATAGCTGATGATTGCCGTGTATGGCACGAAACTTTAAGTACTATTAAGACCAGTTCAAAAAAAATTTTTAATAATTAAGTGGCTAGATGTTTAAATATTATTATTTAATTGATGAAAAAAATAAATCAATTTCAAAGCATTATTCCAATATTTATTAACAGCTCAATTAAGTTTACTTTTCAACGATGTCCTAATATTTAAAAAAAAAGGTTCTTTAAAAGTAGGTCAACCTGGTACTCAAAAGAAGCAAAATAGTATAAAAATTTCAAAAATTATGATTGTAAATTTCTTTTTTTTTTTTACTTATAAAGTATTAAAAAACTTTTTTATGCAAATAAATCTATTATATTATTTGTAGTATGAAATGATCATTTTCTTAAATTTTTTTTAATATAATTTTGCTACTTTTAAGACCCAACATTGTTTATATATCAAGTGATTTAAAATGGGCCAAACAAGTAAAATATGCAGCTAGTAAAGCAAATAGTATACTCTCACTACTAAATAATACATTCAAGTACAAGGATAAAGATCTAATAAAAACACTGTATTGTACATATGTTAGACCAAATTTAGAGTTTTCAATTCAAGCATGGAGTCCGTATTATACAAAAGATATTAATGAACTAGAAAAAGTCCAACGAAGAGCTACCAAAATGATACCGGAGCTAAGACATCTTGAGTACAAAAAAAGATTGGAAATTTTGGGTTTGACTACTTTGGAGACTAGAAGGCTAAGGTGTGATTTAATCCAGCAATTCAAAATATTTAAAGGTATTGAAATCATTGATATTAAACAAAATCAAACAATGAACTCTATTTGGTCATCAGGTCCTGCAGCTAACATTAGAGGAGCAAAACATCGAATGAAACCTGAATTGGTCAGAAATTGTTTAAAAAGGCAATATTTTTTCAGCAATAGAGTTGTCGATGGATGGAATAGTCTACCAGCCGAAGTTGTTCAATCTACTACAGTTAAAAGCTTCAAATTAAACTTGCAATTGGTATGCCCATTTTGATGCTCATTTACCCAAATTTAAGGGGTATGGTTATTTCGACTTAAAAATTTACTTTTTCGACTACCCTAATATATATATATATATATATATATATATATATATATATATATATATATATATATATATATATATATATTAACATTTTAAAAATACATTGAAATAAATGGTTTTTAATTACATTTAAAAAAATTTTTTATTAAATAAATATTAAAAAACTTTTATTAAAATTAAATGTTTATCTTTATTAATGTTTTTATATTAGCAAAATGCTTTTAAATGAAGTGAGTAACAATTGAATGTTACTATATATATATATATTATAACGATTGAATGTTATTATATAATTATTAATTAAATTAAATTATTAATTACATAAGATTTTTTTTTAAAATTCTTATATAATAAAAAGAAAAAAGAAAATTTAATTTTATAAGCGACAATTTTAAAAAGCGATTGTCTGTTTAATAAACTTTATATAAGAACCATTAAAGTTAATACACTCAAAAAGAAGAAAAGTTTTGAGAAGAAAAAAAAGACAAACCTTTTTGAAAGCCGTTTGAATTAAATAACTTTGATCTTTACTTATGTTTTTATATTATGGTAAAGTAACAAATGATGATGAGCTAATGATTTTTTATATTAAGTATTAATGAATGTCATATATATATTTTTTATAGTTATTTTATATATATAAATATATCATATATATTTTTATATATAAAAATATATATAACATTCAGTTTAGAATGGTCCAATGCAGCTTTCAAAATACATTAAAAAAAGACATTTCTTCTATTCGAAAATCAATGCATACTTACACTTATGCTGATAAAACCTCAAATTTATACAAACTATCAAAAGAAGAATATAATAAATTGTTAATGAATGCTACTACTTCCAATTATAAAAAAGCCGACCCCATGATAAAAGACTGTATTAATAATAAAAGAAAGGTTATTTTGAAGAATCACGATATATATAACAAAATCAATCTAAATGGATCTTTTGATTGCTTTATTACATTGAAAGACCATAAATCAAACTTTTTAAATAACCCTACGGTTTGCCTTATAAACCCCGCTAAGAATAAAATCGGAAGAGTTAGTAAGCATATTTTATTTGATATTAATACCAATCTAAGAAATATTTTGCAACTAAATCAGTGGAATAATACACAAGACGTAATTAATTGGTTCAAAAATATTAAAGATAAACACATTTATAAATTCCTTATTTTTGACATTGTTGACTTTTATCCTTCAATTAATAAAAAACTCCTTATCGACTCAATTCACTTTGCAGAGCAATATGTTACCATCACCACTGACCATAAATCTTTAATTCTTCACACGCGAAAATCATTATTATCTACCAACGACCAAGTTTAGATAAAGAAACCAAGTGGTTTGTTTGATGTAACCATGGGTGCATTTGATGGTGCAGAGGTTTGTGAACTAGTTGGAATTTTCCTTCTTATCCAAATCTCCCAATTTTATAGCAAGCATGATTTGGGGTTGTATAGAGATGATGGCTTAGCAGTGTTCAAAAATGCAAGCGGTCCTAAAATGGAGAAAATTAAGAAACATTTTACCCAAATATTTAAGCAAAACAACCTTAGTATTTCTATCCAATCTAATAAGAAAATTGTTAATTACCTAGATGTAATGTTTAACCTTAACAACAGTAGTTTCCAACCATACTGCAAACCTGATAGTACGTTAAATTACATCCACGCTAGTTCCAACCTTCCACCTAATATTTTAAAACAGTTACCAACTTCAATTGAGCGTAGCTTATCAACCAATTCTTCCAGCGAAGCAATTTTTAATAATACTGCCCCTATTTATAAAGATGCATTAAAAAAGTCTGGATTTAGAAACAACATACAATACTATCCATATGTAGGCCCAAATAATACTAATAAGCGAAAGAGAAACATCAAATGGTTTAATCCTCTGTTCAGCAAAAACCTTGTCACCAAAATAGGACACCTTTCTCTTAAGTTAATTGACTTGCATTTTCCTCTTCATCATAAGTTCCACAAGATATTTAACAGAAATACAATCAAAGTTAGTTACAGCTGCATGCCAAGTGTTGGATCAATAATTAATTCATACAACCAAAAAATATTACGTAACAACCAGTGGGTTGTTATGTAATATTTTTTTTTGTGTCACCAACTGCAACTGTATTAATAAACCTTCATGCCCTTTAAACAATCAATGCTTATCTAAAAATGTCGTGTATAAAGCCACTATATCTTTAGCTAACCCTAGTAATTCTGAAAAATCATATACTGATATCAGTGAAGGCTCATTCAAGCTTAGGTTTGCAAACCATTTAAAATCATTCAACGCTACTAGATACGAAAACGATACAGAACTTTCTAAAGAAATATAAAAACATAAAAATGAAAGCATTATGCCGTTAATCAAGTGGAACATTATTAAAAAGTGTCAATCATATAATCCATCAACTAAAAGATGTAATCTTTATTTATATGAAAAATATTTAATTATGACTTATGATCAAAGATCATTACTTAATAAAAAAATTGAGTTGGTTTCTTTTTGCAGGCATAGAAAAAAATTTCTGCTTTCACAATTCGATACCGGAGATTAGGAACCCATGATATCGTCTGACCTAAACTTGACGTCAAACACCGTTGCAACGCTAAAAAATTGTATTTTTTTAAGGTTTTTTTATTTTGTAAATTTTGAATAATATGGCTGAATGATTGCCGAATGACATGAAACTAATAGTTCCATAAAAAGTTGTATTTTTTTCATTTAAATTATATATTATATATATATATATATATATATATATATATATATATATATATATATATATATATATATATATATATATATATATATATATATATATATATATATATATATATATATATGTATATATATATATATATATATATATATATATATGGATTTTAGATTTAAATATAAATATATATATATTTTTATAGTTATTTAAGTATGTATTTTTATTTTAAATGTTTTTAAATTAAAAAATTTTTAACTTTATAAAGAATTGTTTTAATTATATTGATGAATGCAATGAATTATTAAGAACTTTTTTTTTAACTTTTAAATGTGTATTTATTAAACAATTATTAGATGTAAGCTGTTACTCTATTCAAATGGGTTTCACATATTAAACTATTAAAATATTAGTAAAGATAAACAAAATAGTTTTTGTACTAATGTATTGTAAATAATACTTATTTTAGTTAATTTTCATTTTTATTTTTTTGATTTTAGTTTTAGTTAAGCTATTTTTATTTTTTTTTACAAAGATTAATTTGCTTCTTTTAGGATAAGATTTTTTTTTAAGTTTCTATATAGTTAAGATAATGTTTTCAGCATGTTTTTAAAATGTATACAAATTTTCAAAACATCTTAACAGCCATGGTCAAGTTTTCAAAATCAAATTGTTTTTGTGTGGTCATATTATGGCATGAAATCGCGCGCCTTCCTGGCCAAGCCTGTATTATATATACATACATATATATATATATATATATATATATATATATATATATATATATATATATAAATATATATATATATATATATATATATATATATATATATATATATATATATATATATATATATATATATACATATATATATATATATATATATATATATACAAAGTATTGGATATTTTTTCAAGAAATTTGAAAAAAAACATACACAGTAAAGTCACCTTCATCCTCATTGTGATACAGATCATTCCACACACCAAGCATATGTTGACAAACTACCAAAGCAGCTTGACTGCTATGTACTTTTTGTATAACTTTTACTTTGGTTATTAACAAGCTTAAAGTAGTATTAGTAAATGTAATATAGAATAAAATTAACCTTCAAACAACGATTAGAAAACAATAAAAATCATTTTAAAATTACCTTAATTCTAAAGGATATTCTGCAATTGCAGTCTCCAATATATTTAATGCTTCTTCATACTTTTTATATTAAAAAAATAAAATAAATGAATAAACAAAAAACATTATTGAGTATAAATTACAAAAAAAATATGTTATAGACTTGTAGTTCATAAATATTAAATCGATAAAAAGGAATATCTTTTACTGCATAAAATTTAACAATTTAAACTTTGATATATTTTATTGCATATTTTTCAATATTTACTGATGTACCAGAAAAAATCTGTGCAGATATTTTAAAGAATATTAAGTCAACTATTCTATTTTGATATTCAATGTTATATTTTGAAAGTATATATATTAAAGATTTTAAATTTCACTTAAGTAAGTTTGTGAACTTGTGTATTCGAGAACGCACACACTTTGCGTTGGTTTGGTCTTTAGTTGCACTTTCTTAGCAGCTTTAATCCATTTATTTTTTTAAGTCTTTATTAACAATAACCCAGCATCTTTCGATGCAAGGCAATTTGGTGGATTGCAGTGTTTTTCAATGAAATCTTCTTTATGTTTTCTAAACCAATCTGTCCTAGCGTAATGAAATAATGCTAAGGAACTTTTTTTTTAATAAGATTTATAGCCACAACTTCTCTTCACTCTTTGTATAGTGGAAGCACTTTCAGGGGTGTACACTGGTGGTCATCCGATGGTACCAGATGACTAAATTTTGTGAAGGGCAACTAAAAACAGACCTTTAATGCAATTAAGTCACCCGAAAGGGAGACTATTATATTTTTATCAGCAGCTCTAGTTTTTTTTTTGAATGAAAGCATTCAGTTAAGCAAAAAAAATTTTTGGAATATTTAAATTATGTTTTAATGTCATTTATGTGATGTTTATTCAGAAAATATTGTCACAAAAATTTAACCGCAACTGAGAATTTAAAAAAAAAAAAATGTTTTATTAAAAAAAAAAAATTAATTTAAAATTAAATATGATTTTGAAAACTTAAATTAATTTTGAAGAAATGTAAAATAGTAAAACATTGAATGTAAAATAGTTTTATATATAATTTTATATATGATAAAATATTATATATATGATTTTTAAATAAAAAATTTAAAAATTTATAAATAAAAATAGTTTTGCAATTTTTATTAAAGTTTTTTTCTAATCGTCCGCTAACTAATTCATTACATAAAATTTATAAACGATTACAAACATCTTATTGGTAACTGATAAAATCTTTAAATAGTTTATAATCTTTATTAAAAATATATAAAATTATTAAACACTTAAAAATTAAAATAAATAAATTAATTGTGATAAACAAAATACAACCTTTTTTAAATACAGAGTTTAGATTCTATAAATAACTTTTGTTAAATTAGTTTAAATAACTTTTAGTACAGTTTAAAGTTAAATTTAATTACAATGCTATACTTTAAAATGCTTTTAAAATATCAATAGTTTTTAGGCTCCTGTAACAAATAAGATTTTAATAATTACAACACATTAAAAGCAAAGGGTTTTAAAGTATTTGTAAATTGTTTTTTTTATTTAACAAATAGGCTACTTTCAATCGCCCTTGAGGTGACTGACCAAAATTCTGAGTGTACACCCCTGACTTGTTTTAAATTTATTTGCTAAAGTTCAAACAGAAATTACTGGATTTCTGTTTATGGCATCTTTAACTTTTTTTAACAAGATCTTGTTGAACAAAAACTTTTTTTCTTCCACTTCCTGATTTCCATTTTATTCTACCAGTATCCTTAAATCATTTCACAACGCTCTGCACTGTTCTCAAAGCAATCTGCAATTTTTTAGAAGCTGTTTTGTTTGATACACCAGGATTTTCAACCAGAAAATTTTTTTCTTGATTCTTATTTGATTTGTTGGCATTTCAATTGAAACTAACTGTTTTGATAACAGAGTTGTTTAAATTTTGAATAACACAAATACAATGACATTTTAAAACAATCAGTTCAATTAAATAACGCACGGTTTCCATAACACCACATTAGAACACGCTCAGATTTTTTTTAGTTATTAGTCAAATAATTTAACTTAAAATTTTTAAAGCAATTAAAAAAAATTAGTTGAAAATTTGAAAATAAAAATATAATTTTGAAAAAGAAAAACCTTTTTTTCAGCAGTAAGTAATAGAACAAACAGATGCAATGAAAGATAATCCATACAATTAATTTTTAATGCCATCTTTATTGTATTTACTGCTGTAGAATGCTAAAGCAAAAAAAAATATCTCAATAAATAACATATAACCAAAATCTTGAATAGTAATTTAAAAGTAAAACCTCAAAAAATAGCTTTTTTTAAATCTAGTTATTAAGGTGCTCTAAGTACATGGTCTAGTCACAAAGCACTGCAGAATAGCGTTTAACTCAGAAGTTCATGCCTCTACCCTTACTAACGTCTTATATATGAACAGAGTTTTTGAACCACAAAACTCTTATTTCTAAAGCAAGTACAGTAACCTACTATTTTGTGCCACAACTATTCATCTGTGCCACTGCTGCTCATTCAAAAATAATACAACAACTTATTTCAATAAACTTTAATAAACCTGTTTAGACAAACCTGTTTAGAAAAACCTGTTTAGACAAACCTGTTTAGACAAAGCTGTTTAGACAAACCTGTTTAGACAAAGCTTGATTTAATGCGAGATGAAACAAAATTTCAGTATCTTTTGGATCTAGAAGATGTCCTCTAAATATAAAAAAATTATCTCTAAATTATCAACAATCTATTCCATAAGTAAAAGCTAATTAAAACTTAAAAAACCATAGTCAACAATTTTACTAACCAAGTTATATACTTATTACACCTTGGCCATTTAATGTTAAACTAATCCTATACAAATAATTAATGAGCCAGCCAAAGACTCTTTAATCTTGTCAAAGGCTAAGACATACTTAGGAGATAGAAAGCTAAAATAAAACCTTACTTTAACACAGGCAGAAGGAACTTGTTAATATCGGATAGTAAACTTTCTAATAGTGTCACATAAGACTTAAAACAATACTCTTGAGAAATATCAAATCATCTCTTATTAAGAGGGTTCTTAAAACAATACTCTTGAGAAATATAAACTCATCTTTTATTATGAGGGTTCTTAAAACAATACGCTTGAGAAATATAAACTCATCTCTTATTAAGAGGGTTGCCAAAGATCCTTAAAAACTCGACCTGTCCCTTATACTATCTTTTTTTTTAATAAACTATTAAAGAAATTTTGCACCAAAATGGCAACAATGCAACAAAAAAACTAAAATAATTATCTTTATAAAGTTATTTTATAATTTTAAAAATCTTTATTTAATTTTAATTCTTCAAACCCAGGGTAATGTACTTATAAATAAATTTTTGATAAATATATATTCCTTAATGGTCTTGAGTTAACCCTAAAAATAGTTTTTAAAAGGAAATTTTCAAAATTGTCATTAAAAAAAACTTATTTTTAATGCTGAATATTTTAGCTCAAGTTTTAAGTTGTAATTTAACTTGTTAGATAGAACTTGACTTGTGTATTATTAGATAGAACTTAGATTGACTTATGTATCATTAGATAGAACTTGAATTATATATTACTTGGCAGTCTAAGCAATAGGCTATGCAGTTGTCTCATTCCTGTTAAACAACTTAAAGCCATAACAAAGGGCTCTTTGAGTGGCCTTTACAATGACTACCTATATACATTTTGATATAAGGTATCAAAATTTTCCTTACAATTGGGAGAGAAACTGAAAACAAAATCTACCTGAATTATATTTTATCTTTCTACAAAAAAATTTATCTAAAGTCTCATTAGATAAGTTTATAACTTTCTTGCCAATTAACCACCCTTCAGGATAATAACTGCCATACATATTCTTTGCATTTTACTCAACAATTTATCCAATTTTATGCTAACTAACTAGTAAGTTTTCCACATCTTACGCATTATAAGGCATTAGTTTTTGACATAACTTTTATTCTTCCCATAAAAATCACATAGGAGAGAGATCTTATGATTGGGGAGGCTAAATCATTCCATTAAAAATTTATCATTCTCGAACTCAATTAAATAACTTATACAATGTTCTGAAAAATATGTTTTGGATTTAAACTTTAAGCCATTTTCTTTTAAAAAAGTAAATGGCTTCCCATTAAAATAAGTTCTAAAGGTATAGCATGACTTTTTAAGTGTACAAGTAAACTACTTTTGTTAATACTCCCGCTATTTTTATTATGTTACCTGTGGCATTCCAAACAAAACAATCCTACACCTTAACACTACATCCATCATGTTTTACAGTTAATAATAAACACTATTTAATTATACATTCATTAATTTTTTTATAGAAAAACCAAAGATTCAAAACTTCGACACGTTGGTCCATGTTAACAGTCATTGTTTTTTGCCCACTTTAGCATTTATATTATTTTTATAATTTTTATAAAAAAATTTTAATCAAAATATTTTTAATGTTTGTTAAGTTATTTAATAGAGCAAAAATAAACATAAAAAATAGGTAAATAAAAAATAGCATTTTAACATCATTCAAATAATTATGAGCGGTAGTGTGTGTGTGTATATATATATATATATATATATATATATATATATATATATATATATATATAGATTGATTTTTAAGTATTTATATATATTAAGTATGTTTAAGTATATATATATATATATATATATATATATATATATATATATATATATATATATATATATATATATATATATATTTGTGTATATATGTATATATATATACTTACTATGTATATACACGCATACTACACACATATATATATATATATATAGATTGATTAAGTCTATATATATATATATATATATATATATATATATATATATATATATATATATATATATATATATATATATATATATATATATATATATATATATATATGTGTATACTCTTGAGCATAAAACAGTGCTCAATATTACAATAATAGAGCAATAAATATTATAATTATTTTATAAAAAAACATAGTTAACAAGAATTTTTACAAAAAAACTTTCAAAAAATGCATATTTTTAATTTAGTTGAAAAAAGTAATTTTCTAGGCAGAAAAATTTAAAACAATATTTTTTTCATAAAATGATTATTTGTGAAATTTTTATATAATTTCGCTACATTTGAGGAACCTCTAAAAATATTTTTGATTCAAAAATAAAGTTTTATTTTATCATATAGAACACATTAAGGTGCGAGCTGCAGATATTTTTCAAAAATGTTGTATTTTGAATCACCCAAACAAATATATATATATATATATATATATATATATATATATATATATATATATATATATATATATATATATATATATATATATATATATAAAATTTCCCAAATATACCACCAAACCCCCTCCCCTGAGATTAAAATGTGTACTGGGAATGTGTGGGGTCCTTTTCTTATATTCTTTCTTCTTCTACTCCACTTACGCTGCATACATTGATTGGACAACACCAAAATAATACAAAATACAATCTGTAAAATTTATTGAAGATGAATATGAAATCAACACAAATATAAAAGTGATTTCACAACGACAAGGCAAATTACGCTCCTATTTCCAAAGATATATTCAGAATTATATATTTTTATATTATAAAATAATCAGTGAGTATTAATCAAATATTATTAAAAACAATATATTTGATTTACTTTTAATTTTAAGATATTGTTGTGGTTTTCATGTTGAGAGTATTCTTTTAAAGATTTTTTTTCTCACTGGTAAGCATTAAAGAGCAATTTTCAAAGTAATACAGCAATCTTCTACCTCTAATCAAAGTAATACAGCAATCTTCTACCTCTAATTGTTATCTAAATGTCCTTTCTGGACAAACCCTTACACCATCATGTAATAAATTGTGTCATCAAAAGAAATTTTTTAAAAATAGAAAAATAAAATTGGTTTTGTAAATAGTTAACACAAGCTCATAAATTTCATATTTCACATTTACTGCAAGTTCGATTTTATAATTAATATTAACTTTCTTTATACATAAATCGCATAGCAAAATAATTTGACAATTACAAAGTCTCAGCAAAAGCAACAACAAATGTTGTTTAATTACAAAAGAATTATAAAAGATGGCAAGCAATTGCGCACTGTCGTGGCAAAGAAGAAAACCAATAATTATTTTTTCATGAATAGTCATAAAATGTTATAATGACTAAGGTTGTTTAAAACATTTAAATTTGTTTTTATGTTTTAAATTCAAGCAAGCAGTGAATCTAGTTTTCTTGTTTTTAAAATTTCTAGTACCAGTTATAAAAAAAAAACATTCTTGTGGTTAAAGTAATTTAATTTACATTTTAAATGTAATCAACCAGTAAAGTAAAGAAATCTATTTTCCTCATTAAATAAACTTGTAGAACCAGTTTATCACAATCAACAAAAAAAGGCAAAACTTTTAAAAAAATAGCACTTGTGGGTGTTAAAGCAAACAAACTTGTAATTTTTTAAATTGTACTTTATTTCTTGCTAACTTTTTTTTAATAATATTTGCTGTTGTTTGAACGCATTGCAAAAAATTATTTGCAAATTTAGAGAAATGAATTTTTTTCCCGAGGGATTTCCGGAAAACCCCAATCCTCAAAATATTTTTTTCTAACAAACATTTTTGCAGTTATGCCAGCGCGTAGTTATACCAATAACGGCAATTTTATTTCAAGTTTTAAACAATAAATTATTATTTTTTATGTTATTTTTTTATTAGTTTTTAATAGTAATTAATTTTCAATAATTTTTAGAATTATTATCAAACTTAAATTTGGCAAAGTTTATTTGGAGAATGGTATTTTTTGACCTTCAAAGTGGGAATTTTAATTTTATGAGCATTTGGGAATATGGCGTTTGACGGGGCCCCACAGGGCTAGTTTACACCCTGATATATATATATATATATTATATATATATATATATATATATATATATATATATATATATATATATATATATATATATATATGTATATATATATATACATATATATATATATATATATATATATACACACACACACTTCAGATGCCATAAATATTTCGGTACTATTTATTATTCAGCTACTTTTATAATATTTGGTATTTGATCAAATATTGCAAACTATGCAGCAGAATAGCCGATTGTAACAACCCATAAAAAAGAACTACATATAACTCTTGTTTTTATTTTTTATTTTAACAAATAATTGTCATATTTAATACTTAATGTATCAGTGGTAAGTTATTATAAAAGCATTTTTATTGTATGATGATAGCAAATGATTGCGCTTTTTCTCATATATATACTTCCAAAATTAACCATTCACTTTAAAAACCAATTTGATTTGCAATTGGGCTTTTCTTTTCCACATCTTTATGTGGGCATATTTTCTGTAGAGAAATAGAAATTGATTTGATAATTTTCTTTTACATTTCTTTTTCATTGAAATGTAGATATCAATAATTGCCAGTGCTACTAGACGCCAGTGATAGTTCATCAGTGTAAATCAACCTTTCACTGAACTGAAAGATTGTGTTGGGTGTCACATCACAAATTTAGAAATTACCTCAGAATTGGGAGATATAACAGAGTTGAGCAGAAGTATTTAGAACTTAGCAGAGTATTTTCATAATCTTTTTGAACGATTGAGTGTGATACAGTTATACATAACTTTAGTTAAAAGAACTTTATGTAACAGTTAACAAATAATGCATGCTGTTACACAACCTACTTGCAAATAAAACAAATACGCCCACAGCATATTAACATACGCATTTCAATGAGGCAGGTCATAACTCTCAAAATAACTAAGTATTGCCTAATATTTATTATGGCTTTGCTTAGCGGAATATTTAGTATTCAGCAAAATCACTATTCATGGCACCTCTAATTCACACACAAGTTCCATTTTGTACTTGCATGAAACACTATTGATGATGTTACATTGAAATAGCCATCTGCTGGGGCATGAGTACATACATTAATTGAGGATTTATAGTATCTAGATATAATAATTATTACAGCAAAAACAAAAACAAGAAATTCTTTTTTTTTTCATTATTCGTTGCATATTCTTTCTTTAAAAAACTATCTGAGTCGGCATTTTAGAATAGATAGTGCAAAATCTACACCAACCAGCATTTGCTGACTTGGTGTGTAAAGTTAAAAAGTGAACCTAAACAGTTGATATTGGAGAATCTAGTGAACAGACATTTTTTTTTTTTGATGTCCTCATGAAAGAAAGTGAAGGAAAGTCTCAGGCACAGTCCTAAAGAAACCATCAGGACATTGGATATCTAATCCTGTCTTCAAGAAGTTTTATGATCTGTCTGCACACATGATAGTTGTATATGATATAGTTGAAAAGGGAATCAGTATAATTGAGAAAAGCAGTGACACACTCACAAAAAAACTAACAGCAGAAATAGTTTAATCTTTAGTTGGTTGCAAACTGTCACAAGAATTTCCTAACTCCATTACTCCATCACTTATGTTGTAGAATATCCCCTTCAGAACAATTTATCTAAAAATTTTAAAATTTTAAAACAAAATTCTTAATTAGATTGAAATAATTAGTTACATTTTTTAACTTATTTTAATTTTAATCTAATTAATAATTTAAAAGTTTAAAATTAATAATCAACATGCAGTAATAACTGTTTTTATTTTAGATATTATAAAGAGGGATAGAAAGAGAGATAAAATAAAACTTTAAAATTATAATTTTAAAATATCTTTCGAATTATATAATGTATTAAAAACAAACCTGCTTAATGCTTCTATTGAGAGCTTAAGATATTTTTGGTGCTCACTGGTAGATGAAGCTAAAAATAAACCTCTTAATTTATTTGAAAAATATTACAGGTTACAAAGTTCAGTTAAAAAAGTTACCTTTTAAAGCTAAATGATGGTTACACACACCAACAGCCAATAAAGCACTTGCTTTGATTAAGTCTGTTTGTGCAACATTAAATAATTTTTCAGCATATGCTACTCCCTCTTTATACTAAAAAAATAAAAATTTATATAAATAAAAGTTAAAAGTTAAAAATATAAGTTATGATTAATTTTTTAAATTATTTTAGCATAACAATTCAGGAATCAAACTTTAGTTTTATCTAAAAATGTGTTTAAATATTTCAATAGAGGTTTAAATATATCAAATATATTTTGATAATAATATATTTGTATTTATCAAATATTTTTTTTTAAATCAAATATAATATTGGATATTATTCAGAGATAGTTTGGCAGGTTATCAACTTTGGCCACATAATAAAATTTTTTTCTGAAAATGACACCACTGTTTTAGCATATCACAATAAAGCCTGACAGGTAAGTATAAGTATTGTTCATCATTATAATATTATCCAATACAGTCAACAACATCATTAGTAAATTCTTTTACGCTGATCATCGTTTTTTTTATTTTACTTTATTGCAAAATAAACTTTTTTACAAAAAAAGCAAATAATCAGGGCTGCGCTACTTCTATTTGCAAGCAGTCTAGCTTTGAAAACTCCATTACAGTAATCAAACAGAAGTTAAAAACAAATTTTTTTTCTCAACAAAAACTCCTTAACTCTTTATATTTAAAACAGTGAAAAAATAAGATTTTTCTAGGGTGAACATTATTTGGAAAATTTTTATTGAACACTTAAGGATAAAAAACAAGTATTAACACAACACCTGTGATATTCTGTTTTTCAGTACTTAATCAAGATGTATTATGTATTTTTCTATATATTGTTTGCATGCTTTGTCTTTTTTTATGATTTGTTTTCTATATATTTAACTATATAGCTATAAATAATATATATTTTTGCAAACTTATATGCTAAAAGATTGTAAAAAAATTACAATCAATAAACACTAAACAAACCAGTTTTAGATGTTAGATAAAAAAATTCTTGCACTTGCATATTTACTTTATACATAAGTCTTACTTGGTTTTAACAGTAACTAAAATTTGGTTTTAACAGTATGGCACTAAAATTTGGTTTTAACAGTATGGCACTAAAACTTGCACAGATTAATAAGCTATCTGATAGATTGTGATCTGTTAAAATTAGTCAGCTTGTTTTAAAAAACTTTAGATAAAATTTCATATAGCAAAAAATACTAAAAACATAAATTATTCTACTTTGATGGTAGTATTAGTATATCATTTGTACCTGAAGTATTTTAGCAAAAAAGAAGATTAATTTTCCAACATTTTATTAAAAATATAAATCATTTAAGATTATTTTAAAAAATTTGTTATTATAAAAAAATTTCATTGTCAAAGTTAAACTAAAATTAAACAAAACATCTATACTCATAAGGTGTCTAATTTTTATATAAAAAATCTTTAATTTATTTAAAACTGGAAACAACAACAAATAAAGGCCCATTAACACATAAAAGTATATTACTTTCAAATTTAAAGAAACATGTTTATTTTTACCATCATCATGCATCAAATGTTTTATATTATTAATTCATTTTGCCCCTGAGATGCAAATAAAAATTTTACCCCACTCACATACTAATACTTTTATATTATTAATGTGAATTTTTACCTCTTTCATACACTAACAATTTTTAAATAAATAATATTTACCCCCCTCATACACTAATACAGAATAAGTTCAGGACCATCATGATCACCATGCTACTGGTAATAATGTGTCCCATATTTTCTACAAATACTATCATTGCTTCTTGAACTAGAGATTATCTGTAGTTTCGTCAACCAAAACTCAATCTTGTTGTAATCATTCGGCAGAGTTTCTTTTTTATTGTAACTGTCATTTCATGCTCTTAAAACTTTTATAAATCTTTCTTCACACAAAAGCTATGGAATTCTCTCCTATTATCATGTTTTTCCAACTCACACAATTTACAGTTTTTTTAAGTTAGTCAATCATTTTTTTGCTTTTTAACAATATTCTCTGTTTTCTGGTAACTCTAGACTTTATTAGTAATTGCTTGCAGCCCTCTTGGCAAAGAATTAGTTAAAAAATAAAAAATAAAATTTTTTTAAAGAAAAAGACTTGGATTTTTTTACATTTAATTCAAAAAGATAAACCTTTTGTAAATGATTGATACAAAGCTTAATGCAAAGTAAAAGTGTTTTTTCATTTGCAGGTTGAATTTGATGACATTGTTCCAACATAAGAAATGCTTGCAGATACTAAAAACATCAAAAGTAATAAAAATAAGAAAAATAAGAATTTAACTTTTAAAAAATTTATTAAATTAATAAAGAGTAAAAAAAGCAAACTCGTTGTGACAGCATTAATGCCACTGAGAACTGAAACAGTATTTGGTACTCTCCATATGATAATTTCATTGACTTTTCCATTGTCTGCAAGCATAATTTTTAATACCATTTATGATTTAAATTAATTAAAACAACAACAAAAAAAAAAAGATTAAAAAACTTAAATAAAATAAAAACTATTTATAGCTGAAAAAAAAAAAAAAATTTAAACCTGTAACAAAAAGTTGTACTCATTATGATTAAGTAGAGTCAATGATAGTAAATTAAACATAATTTTTATTTCACTTATTATTTTGCTTGTATCTTCTCGAATTAATGATGCTTGATTGATCTAAAAAAAATAAAAATAAATATATATATATATATATATATATATATATATATATATATATATATATATATATATATATATATATATATATATATATATATATATATATATGAATGCTTATAAACCTCATATAGATCAAACTAATACATAAAAGATTTTATAATTTAATAAAACATAAAAGATTTTAAAACACTCAAAATACCATAAAAATATACCATATTTTGATAAAGGAGTATTGCTAGCAAGCACTCGGTGGTCTGAGTTGGAGGCGTGTAGAGACTTGAAAAAAAAATTTTATCATTGACCTAATTGATAAACTTTAAACTGAAGCTAAAGAAAAAAGCTGAAAGAGTGGTACAAGAGAAAGACAAAAAATACAAATCAAGAAAATAAAAGGATTGTAAATAAATACTGTAAAAAAGAAATCACTCATAACATATTGATAAAGTAAAAAAAAAATTTGTGTAGAAAAAAGTGATAACTGATTAAAATAACTCTTTAAAACAGTGGTTCCGCAACTATCAAATTTTAAGAAATGCACATTCAGTGTTTTTATATCAGTGATTTTTTTCAGGAGGATAAATATGTTTATGTGAAATATCCTTTTTACAATTGAATCTGATTAATAAATAAAAATTGTAAAGTATCTCTCAGTGTGTGATACACTAATCATCAGAACTTATTTCCTTTTCTAGTAACAGAGCAAGATTTAGTATGATATCTGAGCAGTACTATGCAAGATATCCTTAGTTAGATATTTATAGATAAAATTTGTACTACTACTGTGTCTCAATTTTAAATTCACTATCAGTTGAACATATTTTATATTTACTATCAGTTGAACGTATTTTAAATTCACTATCAGTTGAACTTGTTTTATTAAATGAAATTGATAAAGAGTAAGGAACCATTTTTAGTTGCTTTGTATAATTTTATTTGATTAGAGTTAAACTTTGTACTTTCTTTCCAATTTATACAAAATCATATGTCATTCATAAATCATATGATTTATACAAAATCATATAATAAATCGTATGTGTAAAAACTATTTAAAACCCATCATTTCTAGAAAAAACTAATAATAGACATGTTTGTTACAAAAAAGAGCCCAAATAAAACGATGTATTAGAACTCATCATTTTGTTGGATAATTCATTTTTAAATTGGTTCAAATTTTTAAGATGCAAAAAGTTAGTTCCCTAAAAACAGAGTTTTTAGGGAACTAACTTTTTGTTAATCTATACAAGGGCCAATTTTAACAAAAATTGGCCCTTGTATAGACTGTAAAAATCTGTTGCTCAAAAAAATTTGACTAAAACTATATGTACATTGGGATCTGGAAAGCTTTTTTGCAAAGTAATATTTTTTAAATATAAAATTGTAAAATGTAATAACTTCACATTTAGAAAAAATCTTGATTTTATATTGCCTTGCTTTGCTGCTTTTACTAATACACAATAGAACCTTTCAGTTACAGTAGTTAGAAAGCCAGCCACAAAATAAAAAGATCAAAATCCATATCGATTGTCCAAGATTAAATTATTAGACTCATAATGAGATGTTAGAAATTTGTTCATTAAAGACTCAAAGACCTTGCTAATAAAAGCATAGATAAGTTTTTGACTTTATGAAAATCCCGGAAATTATAAAGCATAATAATGCAGGCCTTGTTTTAAAGCGTTACGCCTAGAGCGATTTACGTACGCCTTAAGCGTAGCGATTTACGTACGCGTAGAGCTGTTTTGGTTAAGCTACTTTTTATCATTTTTTAACTTTTAAATTAGCGGTAACATAAAAGAAGTAATTAATTTTCAAAAAAACCACATTAACTTTTAAATAACGTTATGTAAAGGTATTTATTAAAAAAAAGAATTTTCTTTAAAAATAATTATTGTAACTTTTCATTGCGATATATCTTTCCTTTTTATAGCAATTAATTGACGCTAAACTTTTTATCCAAATCTTTAGCAACATGAAAAATTGTTTGTCAATCCTTAACTACAAATTTTTTGCAATGTTTTTAATAAAAAGTAGTAATTTTTTAATGTTTTTAGTAAAAAAACTTTTAAAAAATCTATATTACATATTTATTAATACAGAATATAAAAGTTTTTTGTAATAATAGATTTTTTATGAATTTTTTACTGAATTTATAATAAAAAACATTTGCAAAAAAAATTTGTAATTAAGAATTGACATTTTTTTTTAATAAAATCTCAAAAAATGTCTTAATATTTTTGTTATCATGATAACAAAAATATCAAGACATTTTTTCGAGATGTTAAAAAAAATGTCTTTGCTTTTCTTATTAGTTTAATAGTATATAGCTTATAGTTAGTTTAATAGTATATAGCTTTTCTTATTAGTTTATTAGTATATAATTTAAGTTATGCGGGGGGAGGGGGTCGGCACAGAAAAAAAAATTACCTGTTACTCGCAATATTTGAATGAAGACAATTTGTTAAAATTCTTCTGCGTGCGATTCAATAAGTTTTTTTTTTCATAAATCAAGTTATAATATAAGGTAAAGAAATCATGAGTAGACTACAACATCCGCTGATGACACTAATATTACATTGAATATATTTATATAACGGAGGTTTTATTATGCACGCGCACATTACAGGTTCCGTTAAATAAATATTAAGGCACGTTTTAGTTTAATGACAGTCTCCATTTTTTACTAATGATTATGTATTTTTCTTTATAAAACAAAACAAATTAGTATATAAAAACCTTGTATATTTCTATTATCTCTAAATTGTTTAAAGTTCGAATATTATCCAAAAACAATAGTGCCGTAAGGGCAACTGCCCAACGGTTTATAAATAATACAAGTCATGTTAAAATATTTTAACATGTTACTATATTTTAATTAAGTTGATATATAATTAAAAATAAAAATATAGTTCAATAAATAAATTAACGTTATTCTTAACAAAGATTACCTCATATTTATTCTTTTTTTTATTTTATTAAGTTAAATTGCTTTCAAACGAAAAAAAAAAGAGTTTTGTAATTATACGTAGAATGAAAATACTTTTGAGTTTGTTTATAAGTTAAAGAACTTAATTTTTAATAAACAAATTTTTACGAACGTTTATTATAAACAGATACGATTCAAATTATTAAATATACTTAAATTATTTCAGTTGAGTATTTTTTTAAGTTTGCACGATTAAAGTTTGGCGTAGAAGTATTTGTTTTTTTTTGTTTTAAGAATAATTAACAAAAGAGTTTGCATAGTTAAGACATTTATATTTAATTTAATTTTTTTTTTAATTTCCTAAAATTAAAAAAAAAAAAGATTTAATCGTTGAAAACGATTTTTCTCTATAGCTCTGTTTCTTTGTGATTTGTTTAAAAAGTTAAATATTTTTACAATAACATAAAAAATGTATGAATTAAATTCCTAGCGAACGCGTTCTAAACTACGTATCAAAAATATGCACAAAGCAGACAAAACTTTTTTATATTTTTATAAAACGCAAGTTTGAACGCTTTTAAACGCTTTTGAACGCTTTTAAAAATTTAAAAAATATTTAAAAACTTAAATTTTTCTTTGTTAGTCGAAACAAAATCGTTGTTTAGTAATTAACATGGGTTTGCGTTTATCAATGTTAATATTTTTTGTTTACTCTAGAAATTATTAAAAATAAAAAAAATCATTATTATTTTTTATTCAATAACGATTCAAAACAATTATTCAAAAACAAATTTCAGAAATAATTAATATATATATATATATATATATATATATATATATATATATATATATATATATATATATATATATATATATATATATATATATATATATATATATATATATATATATATATATATATATATATATATATATATATTTTACTAAATAATGATGAACTAAAATTAAAAATAAAATAACTATTGAAAACATTACAAAATTTTCATAATAAATTTATATTTAAAACGTTTATAGTTTATATTTAAGTTAATTGTTAAATTGAAATAGTTTGCGGTTATTTATTTATTGCGGTAGTTAAAACACTTAACGTCTATAAAAAAAAATAAAGATAATTTTATGACGTCAAAATCACGTTAAGCTAATGCGTTAAGCACCTTTTTATTTAAAACAAGGCCTGATAATGTATTTAATTTTTAAATATAAAATGTCAGACAATGGTTTAGAAACTAATATTTTTTATTATTACAACTTTCCGCCGCAAAACATTCGTCAGCTTTATTTTTCCTGCACTTTTTTGCATGATCATTAATAGATTCTTTAGCTGTTTTGCACAGTTCATGTGAAGCGATCATTTTTTTCCGCGTTAAGTTTATATTATAAAAACATACTTTAACTATATTATAAAAACATACTTTAACTCTGTTTTTCCCATGGTATTCGATTTTTTTAAAATTTTGTTAACTTTTGTAAACTTTTAAAACAGAATTTAGATTATTTAACTTTTTACAAAAAAGGAATTTCTAACATTCGAAAAAGTTGATTTGAATGAGTTAAAAAAAAAAAATTGTTACAAGAATTGATCTCGTGAACTTGATGAGACAAGTAGGAGATAAGCTCTTTTATGTGGTAATTTTCATTATACTTAATGGGCTTTCATTAAACTTAATTATTAATTTTTTTTTTTTTTTTTATTAAGATTCTGCGAGGGAAAACCTTTTATCTATTTTATAATATTGTTTTGTTTATTGTAAATGTTTGCGTTAGGTAATTTATGGACGATCCCTTATAGAAAAAATATTTGTTTACATGCAAATGTTGTTGTATTTAAAACTTGATATAATTTTTTTCAAATTAACAACAAAAACCATCTGGAATTTTTTCGAAAATTAAAGGAGTTTCAAGTGAATTTCAGGAATTCTGGAAATTCCCTGAAAAAACTCATTTATGTAATAGAGAGAAGACTGATGGAATAATAGTTGGAGGGATCTGTGTTTTCAGATTTTTTAAAAATAGGAACCACAGATGCCATTTTTTTCCTGCCTGGATCCAGGAGGTTATGTAGGAGATGCATTTATTAGTGGAAAAACAAAAGATGTCAGCCCATGAACCATCATGAAGAAAATTACAAAAAGAATCCGTCAGCTTTACAATGGTAGCAATTAGAGCAAAAGTGGGGTGAGTCGGAAGAGTGAAAAAAATCATTGCATGTTGGAAACCTAGTTTGAGTTCAGTTTCTCCTTTTTCTCTTTACATGAAGAACAAGGAGAAACTGAACTCAAACTAGGTTCAGAGACAAGACAAAAATTAAGAAGTGAAGTTAAGTGATTATGATTGTCAGGAATTTTCAAGCTCAAATTTTTCTTGAACCTTTTTTTTTTTTTTTTTTTTTTTTTTTGTATGGATACTGACTGGAAAAGTTAAAAAACAAACATATTGCAAAAATATATTTTTAAATTTGTAATAACGGAAAACTTTTTGGAAATCAAGAAAAACTAAAAGTTGAAAGAAATAATTGGAATTCCAAATATATCTGGAAATACAGATATATCTGCAATTCTGAAAATATCTGGAGTTCAGATATATATATATATATATATATATATATATATATATATATATATATATATATATATATATATATATATATATATATATATATATATATATATATATATATATATATATATATATATATATATATATATATATATAGAATTCTGGAAAAACTTTTAGGGAAACCTCACAACCAGCTGACCTTAAAACCATTAAACTGAGTTTTAGAGTTGTACCCTCATGTACTCAACCAAGAGTACATTTGTTTTCCTTTTAAAATAAGTGCTATCAGTTGATCATATGATTTTTATACAAGTAATATTTTATAGAATATTATAATTATATAATATTACATTACAATATATATTTTATAGCATATTGTATATTATATAAGATGGTGCACATTGAGTCAAAAACATAAAAAACAGCAAAAATTATTTTTTAAACATCACGTGTATAAGGGCTTACTTAAGGCACATACTATATTACCAAAGTTACATTTATAACATTAAATAAGCACTAAACCAATTTATTGGAATAAACAGATTTTTTTTAATGTGAAAAATGAAAAGTAAACTAAACAAGTTATTGAAAGTTCATAAAAAAAATAAAATTGAAAGTTTATTGCTTTCTTGTAAAATGTCTGCATGACGTCAAATACCAAAACTCTTTAGAATTTGAAATAAATTATTAAATATGTAAAAATTGTTAAGATTCGACAATAGAAAAAAAATACAAACCTTGAAAAATCTTCCACGTTTACGCCTTTGTTTGTCAAGATTTATATTTGTAAATTTTAGGGTGGAGAGAGGGGTACAATAATTGAGAAAAAATTATAATTAAAAAAAAAAAGTTGCTACCTTGACTATAATGGCCAATTTACCTTCAAATAAACTTAAAATTAAATTACAAATAAACTTAAAATTAAATTACCTGACAGCATTATCCTTAAGTTGGCCATGTGTAATATCAGTAGATGACTCTATTGTCTCTTTTTGAGGAGAAAAATAGGCAGTAGGACTAATAAACGCTAGCAACACTTCTACCAGTCTTCGACAAACAACCTATAAATAATTTTTATTACTATATTTGAGAATTATTTTTACAGTCTATATATTTACAAACTATTTACTTGTTAAATAAAAATGAGTTTTTATACTTTGAAATGGGCTAAACATTTTTTGAAGTTAAGTGAGGTAAGAGATGATTTTATACATTGAGATAAAACCTTTTTTGAAGTTAGGTAAGGTAAAAGATGAACTTAAAAAAAAAATATCATAAAAATTCGAAAAAATATTTCCGCAAAATGTCATCAATCATTTTACATTGATGTGCCATTAATATTTTTAGAATCTATTTTATCATATTTTAAAAAGCATGTTTTTATATAAATACACCAAACTTTCAGTTTAGCAAATGTATCCAATTGAAATAATAACCATAGAATTTAAACTAACTCATTTAATTTTTGTGAGCATAATTTGATTTAGCGCCTCAATCTTTGTGCAATGTGCATTATTATGTGCTTTGGCTGCAGTCTTTTTGGCTGCAGTCTTTTTGGCTGCAGTCTTTTTTTGTTGATGTTGAGTTTGATCCTGATCATCAAAAAAATTTTGCTTGGCTTATCTGTTTTTCAAATTGTTTACATTTTTGTCTAATAATATTAAACACATCTAAATCATATTCTAAATTGTTTACATTTTAATCTAATAATATTAAACACATCTAAATCATATTCTAAATCACAATTTTATTGTTTCTTTCACTTCTTAATTAATTTAAAGTTACTTGATGATTAATTATAATTCAATCTTTTTTTTAATATAAATTTGTGCAAAAAAAATAATAATAAAAAAAATAATTATCATGCATTTTAGGTAAAAGGTGCTTAATTATTTTGGTGACATATTAAACTGATATAACAAACTTAAATCTAAACAACATAAGAAATCTAACAATGCATGAAAATTCTGGGGATCTAATAACTAACTTTCTGATCATCAATATGGATTTCGATCTTTTCGTTCTACAGCTGATTTACTAACAGTAATAACTGATAAGTTTTATCATGCATTAGATAAAGGTGGTGAGGGGAAAGGCCATCGCTCTTGACATTTCTAAAGCTTTTGATAAAGTTTGGCATGCTGGTCTTCTCCATAAGTTTTCTTCTTATGATGTATCTGGTAACTTCTTTAAAATTGTTGAATCCTTCTTTACCATTCATAGTATAAAAGTTGTCCTTGATGGACAGCACTCTTCTTCATATCCTGTAACTTCAGAGGTTAATCAAAGTTCTATCCTTGGCCCTCTACTCTTTTTAACTTACATTAACGATCTTCTAGATATTCTCACATCTAAGATGGTATTGTTTGCTAATGATACTACTATTTATTCTTGCCTTGTCAAGAACCCAACACTCTCTGATTGCTTGGAGGGGGCATTTGAGCTTGAAAAGGATCTCACTTCTGCTACAGCATAGGGCTCACAGTGGCTAGTGAACTTTAAATCAGATAAAAAAAATCTCAGCTAATTGTTATTGCAATAATCTAGACACTAAAGTATTCAATGAGTCATTTACCCTTTATCTTCTAGGATTAACTCTTGTGTCATCTACTAAAATTAACTTATGTTACTTGTCATTCTATTAAGTCTTGTCCTTTTACTGTGACTATTCCTAAGTGCTCTAAAAATTTTTATTTGTCCAGATTTTCCTTTAGACATCAGTTCTTTGGATTTCGCTTCCTTCACACGCAAGCAAAATTTCAAGTCATCTGATAATTGACCTTGCTCTATAAACTTCATGTTATTTTTTCTAGTAATTTCGGACTTTAATAGTGGTTGCTTGCAGCCTTGTTGGAAGTTAAAATATTGCAAAAAAAATTAAACATGCTTATTTTAAATATTGTGCAAATTTTAAACTTTATTCAAATTTTTGTTTATTTCGTTTATAACCTTCAGCTAGAAAACCAGATACATGACACTAAACAATGTTTCATTTGAATATTGATTTCCAGTGGAGCAATGAAATATAATTCAAGATAAATATAAGAAAAATAATAAGAAGAAGAAGAATAAAAGCAAGAGTTAGGTAAAAACAAAAATAAAGCAAAAAGGAAAAAAATAAAAAAGATCAGTAGAAATAATTTTAAATAAATATTATCTTTGGTGTCATCGTAACTGTTTAACAGATGTCACTAACAGTTTTAAATGCTTTTTATTACTGTTAATTATTATACTTCCCTACTATAGTCAAAGGAAGCAAGCCCACATTTGGCAATAAAATTAATTATCTGTTGAAATGTAAGTCTTACATTATGGTATATATGAATTGGTTTTACAACACTTCAAACCATGTAGAAATATCACAATTGCATATAACTCTGATGAAACCAGAAGGGTTTTAAAATAGATCAGTTTTAAGTTTTTTACAAAATTGCTTTTCCGTGACTTGCTTCCTTCTGCCTTGGCGTGGCACTATTTATATTAGGTTATATGAACACAATTTATTTTTTAATAATTATTGCTTTGCAACAATTGTTCTCTTGCTGATAAAGAGAAATAAAAATAAAGTAATCTATCAAAATTTACAACTGTCATTAATGAACCTTTAAAAAAACTCTTACTTTTCTTATTTGAATAGTTGATTTAACTTCAACAACTTTCAAAAGATTCCGAAATACAATCATGGCTCGTTCAGCAAACCTGATAAATAAACAAAAATTTCCAACATACTTTTACTCGGCTAGCTCATCAAACATAATAAAACAATTACCCATGAATAATCAAAAATCATTTATACATAAACCTTAACTTAAAAAATTAATTATTGTAAAATATAAATTCATGTTCTTTATAGAGCTATCATAGAGAAAAATCATACCCTTCTACTAATAAAAAATGTGGAAACTTCAGCACCCCATATTTATACATAAAACTTAACTTATAAAATTAATTATTGTAAAATATAAATTCATGTTCTTTATAGAGCTATCATAGAGAAAAATCATACCCTTCTACTAATAAAAAATGTGGAAACTTCAGCACCCCATATTTCATTAAACAAGATGCTGGGCTACTTTTATACTCATCGTCTAACAAAACAGCAAGTGAAATTTGACCAGCATTTTCATACATAGCTATTAGGTTATCATGGCTACCAATTGAAAACAATTTCTCTGAAGATAATGCTAAAAAAAAAAGCTTAAGGCTAGTGTTTGGAACATCCAGAACTAGATTACCAGATTTAATCTCTAATGTGTATACGTCTGTGTATGCATTCCTGTGGATTAAGGTTAGCAGTGGATGAATATATTGAATTAACTTTGTATGAATTTATATATATATTTATATATATATACATATATATATATATATATATATATATATATATATATATATATATATATATATATATATATATATATATATATATATATATATATATATATATATATATATATATATATATATATATATATATATGGGTGATGCAAAAAACAACTTTTTTTAAAATAGTCTGCTGCTCTTAACTAAATGTATTCTATATAATGCAAAAATATTAGGTTTAAAATTTTTTAAACAAAGAATATTTTTAGGGGTGCCTCATGACCCTTAAAAATTTGACGGGTCCCTAATATTTTGAAAAAAATAGTTTTTCAAAAGTATGTCAACCTGGTACTCAAAAGAAGCGAAATTATATAAAAACCTAAAAAATAATAATCAATTTACATAAAAAACATGTTTTAATAAATTATTTTAAGAAAAATTAAAAATATTAACTTTTTTATTATAACCTTAAAAACAATAGTTTTTAGGCAACTATATTTGAAAAAAATATATTTATGTAAATTAATTACAACAAGACAGTTAGTTACTTATAAGAGTGTGTTTGTTATTAAAACTATATTTTAATTGAAAAAGAAAAGCATCTAGAAAATTAGAGTGGATATTCAAATAATATTTAAAACTTGAACAACTTTATAAAAACGTGCTGTATAAAAAATTTAGCATTATGAAAAACGTTACTAATGGTTCATAAAAACCAGACTTGGTCGGGAAGCGGGAGCGATCGGTCTCGATTGCTGACCACGTAAATAATATATAGTTGCGAAAAGCTGGCCAGATTAAGCAATGTTTTTTAATCGTTTTGAGAACATTTTAAAAAGCAAAAAAAAAAGCGCTAAATATTATTTGGACGGATAAGAGACAATTACAAAAAAAAATTAGGTAAATAAAATATTTTTAAACGCGAAAAAATTTAAAGCTAAATAAATAAAGTTTAGAAAAAATATTTTCGAAACATCGCTCTTTTATAATTCTTTTTATAAAATTAAGCAATGTTTTTTATATAAAGTAACAACTTACGATTGTTTAAAAAGGAAACAAATATTCTTTATTTAACAAAGTTTGTAAGTTTTAGTTTTATTTAAGCTCAATTATTTTATAAATAATAAAGTTAATTTTTTCAATACCTATTTTATGTTTTGCGTAGTTTGAAAAGTTAAACATATTTGAAGCAATTCTTTTTAGTAAGATAAACAAATGAAGTAATTAAATCATTGAATTACTATAGAAATTAAATTAACAATATAGAAATCAACTTAAGGTTAAAAATAATTTATGACGAGGAAGCGAAACTGCTTCACAATATCGCTGGTAATGTTTAGTGAGTGGGCTTTTTAATTTTAATTAGTATTTAAAGCAGAAAAAAGTATAACGAGTTTTAAGAATGGCAACTTAAGCGAAAATAATTAGAGTTAGTAAACCAATATCTAGTAACTTTTCTTTATATCTAATTATTTGCTATATATATTTGTGTTCTGTCGTGACCTCAGGCGCGGTGCTTGTTCATCTGCGAGTTACTTTGTACGCGTTGTTTGTGTTTAGTAACCAGAAACTTCTTATGTTTGTTACATAATTAGTTTTATTAACTATAACGATTATAACTTCATTGAAAACGCAATTATTTTTGTAAGTCTTTGTTTAAATCATAAAAATTGCTTTAAAATATTTTTATTTATTTGAACCAATATATATATATATATATATATATATATATATATATATATATATATATATATATATATAATATATATATATATATATATATATATATATATATATATATATACAGGCCTTGTTACGAGATTTCGCTGCGTAACGGAAAAGCTGAACGTGAATAAATGTAACTTTACTCAATAAAGATATTTACATTGTTAAAAGTTAATTTACGTCAGTTGCGTTTTTTCTTCATTGTAATTAAATTTAAAATGACATTAAAAACTATTGTTAGTCTTTGAAACGAAATAGCTTTAAATTGTACAATGTTGTTATAAAAAAAAAAAATTTCAATGTTGGTTAAAAAAAAGTCTTCTTGTATTAAAATCTTATACTTATTTAAACTTAATTTTTTTGCTTTTAAACATTCGTTTTATGGTTGTTGTTTTTTTATTTTTTTTTTTTTTAAGTAATTTAAATTTAACACTTGTTTATGGTTGATTTTCTTAAAGGGATTTAAATGTACTTATAACTAAACGCATAGATTGGGTTTTCCCTTTTAAAAAAACGTTTGTTTTGATAAAATAAATGTTGTAAAGAAACGAAATTTACTGCTTTTTCGGCTTTGTTTTTTTTTATTTCCATTAAACTATTTTATTTTTATGTACAGTGAAACCTAATATTTTTTTTCTCGATCCAAAAAAAAAAATAGTGTTTTCGGTTTTCAGATGTTATAAGCAGAATTTGTTTTTAACAAATATCATTATAATTTTGAAATTTATGTATCATATATTTATAGCTCAAGTACTAGTTTTATTTTTAAAATAAAATAAAGATAAGTTGGGTTTTCAAAAAGTTTATTTACTGATCACGTTGTTTTTAATAGGTTTGTATTTTAGTTTGTTCAAGGACGTATTGTTAATACGTCCTTGGTTTGTTTTATTAAAAAAAATTCTTTGGCAAACGGCAAAGGGAAAACCCAAACATAACATTTATAACTTGAGTTTAAAAGTATTGACGTCATTTATTAACTTGAAGTTATAAAATGAATAATGCGCTTCTGTAAATAATGAATGAAACTGTAAAATAATGAAAAAATAAAAACTGGAAAATAATGCGCTTTTGTAAGCGCATCTTCCAGACCAGTATTTGGAACTTACCTAAAACTTAACTAAAATTAAAATAAAGTTATATGTAATACGAACATTTTAAAGTAACTTGAATTAAATTTATCAAATCTTTTTTTACTTTGGTAATTTTATAAAAAAAACGGAGCATTTTAAAATTAAAAAATTTTAAAATGCTCTGTTTAAAAATTAAATGAAAGAATTTTAATTAAATTTAATAAATTTATTTACTAAAAACTATAATTATTAAAAAAATATTTAAATTTTAAAATAAATTGAAAATATTTCTTTTTTTAAATTTGATTGTTTATAAACTTATGAAATCTAATATTTAAAATTAAATATGATGAAAAGTTTAAATTTAAAACACTCTATTTTCTTTAAGTAATTTTTAAAAACAAAAAAAAAATTATTAAACAAATTGTTTCTTTAACAAAAAATCTATTGGTTTACAATTGCGGTTAAATGCTTTTACTTACGACTTTAATACTTCTGAATGAACGTCACATAAACGATATAAAAAGATAATTTAAATATTCTTAAAGATAAAAGTTTTTGCGTAACGCATAACTGCTGAACGCGTAGGCAAATCGCCTTTTCGCAGGCAAAATGCGAGCTGCGTAACGCTTCTTAACAAGGCCTGATATATATATATATATATATATATATATATATATATATATATATATATATATATATATATATATATATATATATATATATATATATATATATATATATATATATATATATATATATATATATATATATAGGCCTTGTTTTAAAGTGTTACGCCTGGAGCGATTTACGTACGCCTTAAGCGATTTTTACATACGCGTAGAGCTGTTTTGGTTAAGCTACTTTTTATCATTTTTTAACTTTTAAATTAGCGGTAACATAAAAGAAGTAATTAATTTTTAAAAAAACCACATTAATTTTAAAATAACGATATGTAAAGATATTTATAAAAAAAAAGAATTTACTTTAAAAATAATTGTTGTAACTTTTCATCACGATATATCTTTCCTTTTTATAGCAATTAATTTGACGCTAAACTTTTTATCCAAATCTTTAGCAACATGAAAAATTGTTTGTCAATCCTTAACTACAAATTTTTTGCAATGTTTTTAATAAAAAGTAGTCATTTTTTAAAGTTTTCAGTAAAAAACTTTAAAAAAATCTATATTCCATATTTATTAATACAGAATATAAATGTTTTTTGTAAAAATAGATTTTTTAAGAACTTTTTACTGAATTTATAATAAAAAACGTTTGCAAAAAAATTTGTAATTAAGAATTGACATTTTTTTTAATATCTCAAAAAATGTCTTAATATTTTTGTTATCATGATAACAAAAATATCAAGACATTTTTTCGAGATATTAAAAAAATGTCTTTGCTTTTCTTAGTAGTTAAAGGTATATAGATACCTTTACCTTTAAGTTATGCGGGGGGAGAGGGTCGGCACAGAAAAAAAAAAATTACCTGTTACTCGCAATATTTGAATGAAGATAACTTGTTAAATTTCTTCTGCGTGCGATTCAATAAGTTTTTTTTTTCATAAATCAAGTTATATTATAAGGTAAAGAAATCATGAGTAGACTACAACATCCGCTGATGACACTAATATTACGTTGAATATATTTATATAACGAAGGTTTCATTATGCACGCGCACATTACAGGTTCCGTTAAATAAATACTAAGGCACGTTCTAGTTTAATGACAGTCTCCATTTTTTACTAATGAATATGTATTTTTCTTTATAAAACAAAACAAACTAGTATATAAAAACCTTGTATATTTCTGTTATCTCTAAATTGTTTAAAGTTCGAATATGGATTGTATTTTGAAGGACAAAAGATTTACTTTAAAAACTTTTAAATCTTGGGACTTTGCCGATGCTTTGCCGATGCGATGATCACAGAAAAAGAGAAGACTTACGTTATTAAAATCAAATGTAAGTTATGTGATCTTCATCAAAATAAAATATTATCCAAAAACAATGGTGCCGTAAGGGCAACTGCCCAACGGTTTATAAATAACACAACTAAATAAAAAATT